TTCTTTTTCTATGAGCACGCTTGTGAACCTCGTCCTCCTCGGAAGAAGAAGAACCAGTCTCATGTCTTAATAGAGGCGATCTCTCTGGCTGAATCGGAAACTTCCGATCTCCTGTATCAGAAGTTCTCGACCGTTCCGACACAGGAAGACAAGGGAATGATTCATCCATCCTAGGACCAACAGAGCCTCTGCCGCGCTTGACCCTATCATAGACCAGAACCACATGTTACATCTACAAGTCGTTTCAATGATTATAAAGGACAAAGTCAGGCATCATCTAGATTGAGTATGAAAAGAGATACCTTGATTGGAGAAAAGTGTCAATATCGACATCTCCTAAGCCTTGTTCTTCATCTTCTGGTCGCCATCTTTTGTTTCTGCTCTGGCTTGATGATGATGAAGAATGAGTGACATTCTCATCAACGGAAGTGCATCTCTTAACAAAACTCCTCTCACTTTGACCACTGCTGCTCTCTTCTCTTGATTTTCGTTTGAGCCTCTCATCAGACTCAATCTCTTTACTCCGAAGACTCCACATCTCATTGATATCTACAGCTTTGTTTGCTACACGGCGCAAAGAAGAAACATATAAGAGACAATGCTCAACCTCGACTAAGATTTAAACCTCAAAAAACTATATTCGCATTGTCATAAACCATGAATACAAGAAAAGACGACTACACAGGATCCGAAACAAAACATAAACACCAATAACAAATAAGCAAAGACTCGAAAATAAAACCATCAACGTTTCTTCTTCCTACAAACCAAACAGGACTGTAAAACCTATATTGTAGAATCAGCCTGTAGTTTCCCAATGATCTCTCGGTACAAGAAGTTCAACATCATCAAATTCGAGTTTTCGAGAAAACCAAAACATAATCATTGTGGAAGAAGAAAAAGGAATAAAGATTATACCTTGTTGAACACCAAGAACAGTAGCTGTAAGAAACCTTGAGTTAGGTCGATGTCTTACATTAGGGTTCTCAAGATAAGCTCGGACTCCTTCTTTCTCAGCTTGTCTCCTCAATTCTGCTGCTTCTCTTAACAGAATCGAAGCTATTCGGTTTTCAGTTTCAAGATCCATCTACTTCCACAGAAGAAGCAACTGTTCAGACCAAAGTAAACGAAAAAGCTCAGACCTCAAATCTCTAAAATCAAGACAAGTGATCAACAATTGTGGTTAATTCTAGTCAAATCAATCTGGGTATATCAAACATGGAACCGATAACATATAATAGAATTATCTAAAGATTTCCAAATCCTTAGCCTCTCAATCATCAAAATTCCCACTAAAGTTATGTTCTTTTGACTCGTAATCAACGAAAAGACGAAGAAGAGAAATAGAAAACGAGAATCGAAAATAGTTTGTACCAAAAAAAGGGTTTTTTTGTAGAACCCAATTGCTCGAGAATTGTGATCGAAGAAGAGATTATATACCACGAAATCGAATTCCTTGACGATTCGTCGGCGTTTTCCAAAAGCGCAGAGCAAAATCGTCGTCCGAGCCAGAGAAAAAAAAAAGGAAGAAGGTAGATTCGTCGTTTTGGGCAAAGAACAATTGAAATCTGAAAATTTCATTAGTAAACCGAACCGGAACGGTTTGGTATGATAGAGGGTATATAGTAAACCGGGTTCGTTATCTGCGAAATCCTTGAGCCAAGTGTGAAAATCTTGGAGGATTAATATGACTTGAAATTCATTTTGTGGATTGCTTCTAGACACTAATTTTAGTTTTCGTCTTTTCATCTCTCACTTTATGATTGGTTCTCTTGGTATTTGTAACCTCTGGTTTTGTGTTAAATTTGGAATAACGATTCTCAAGATTTCATATTCATGTGTATCCT